GGAATCCTTGAAATAATGTTCAGGTCTGAGAGATTCCCTGCATACAAATATTATATATATCTACAACTATATTGTTGTTATTCAAAAATGATCTCTCACTGACTCTCTCGCAACTTCTCATAGAACCCTGGTATTCCAGGGAACTGAAGCTGAGAAACCTTGAGATAAGTGCTGGTGAAATAGGGATAGAAAGGATATTAGAAAAGATTTGAAAAATAGTCAGTAAACATGATTTGCATGGGTCAGAAAATCCCAATCAGAAGAATCCTGGACTGAGGAAAATCTTTGGGATTTTGAGACTGATTATGTGTAAAATTTGCCAAATAGAAATCTTGATGTGAAGGGAACTTTTTTTGGCAACTTGCAATGTCCATAATTAGGCTTAAATGGTTATTGAAATTGTACTAATGTATAATGTCTGAGGATTCCTTGCCTAAGGAAACTCTACAAAATCCATGGGGTCTCCATAAGTTGACTGACAACTTGACAGCGCATATACACATAAAGGGCTAGTTACTTACTTCCTGGGTACCTCCTGATGAACAACTTGCGAATTTCATCGTAGACCCATATCAAAATAGCATAAGGCATAGCTACAAACCAATACTGAAACCTAGCAAAAAGAGCAAGAGTATTTTGGATTAAATAGCATATAAAAAACGCTTTTGGATAAATTTCTGGCATAGCAATAAATACCCTAATACAACTCAAGGATATTGGACCCCTTCCTCCTCCTCCTTAAACTTTGATGGATTTTCATTTCCTAACCACAATCAATTACAGGTTATTGATGGTTTGGCACTGCGGACAAAATATTAGAAAGTCATTGTGACTCAACTCTCTGTGGCCATCTTTTGGATGAGCCACTCAAAAGGGAGAGGTTCAATGTCAATGTTAGGGTTTTATTTGACTAACTTTATAGGAAGCTGGAAAAGATAAGGTGTAATGTTAAAATCATTGGCAGGACCTTCTCTGCTTAATAATACTTTAATAATTGCTCCAAAGCCTAGGTTTGGAAACCCTGTTATTAGAACAATAAATCCAATATTTTCTTCAGTCACACCTGTTAATATATATGAATTGACATCAGCGTGTGGCAGGACAGAAGTTGAATTTACCTGAGGGGTGTGAAGTTTAAGGCATTCACACTTCCAAGACCATAACACAGAATCAGAGCAATTCCAACCTGGGAGATTATGCCCAACCAGATAACTTTGTTCCTATAAGAAAAATAAAGAATAAAAAAGATTATTAGATTATTTGTGAAATATGAATACCCCATTAATGCTAACAGTCGATCTTAATTTTCTGATCTCATATAGGTGTAGATAAATGATGGTTAGGGAGATTTGTCTAGTAAACATGCTGTTAAAAGGAAAGATAATGTGAGCAGTAAAAATGGGTTTTGTTTGCCCCAGACCCATTCAGTTGTAATATGTTTGAGGACATTTCAAAAGCCTCTTTTAAAAGTCTAATTCATTGGAAAATTTCAAACTTTTAAGAATTGTTGGTTCCCTTCCCACCCAATAAATAAATAAATAAATAAAACAAAGGAAAAGGATGCAAATGCATCTCATTACATTGTGAATGAATTATCTATCCACTTTCAACTTTTTCACTTTGGGCATGGGAAAAAACCTGGAAATATTTTTAAGTTGAACCTTTCAAGATAGATCTGGAAGAGAAGTACAATTGGCAATAACAAGAGAGAGAGAAAGAGAGAGAGAGAAGAGAGGATGGATTGAGTTTGTTTTGAAGTTTTTGAACATTTCGGATTCCACTTGTTAGCAGGATTTGCCACAATCACCAACCTGAAAAGCCCTTGCTGGAAAATAGAATTCCGTCGTGTCTTTCTGATGATCAAGTCAGCCACTTGCTGAATAGTGATGCTGACGAAAAAGGCTGTGTACCCATGATACTGTAGGTTTCTCCGCTGTTCAAAAGTCTGTAAAAGAAGAGAGGGAGTTAAATGGTTGACTTATGGAGAACGTCAGCTCTTGTGATGCACCAAGTTGAATATCTCTCTCAAGCCATCTAATGATATGACAAATATTTGTGCATTTTTCTGTTTTTACAGTTTTCAGGCAGCAAACAAATAAATAATAAAGCCAAGGGTCTTATCTGCACTAGTGTGGGACAACCCAGAATATCCTGTCCTGGAGCTGTCCAATTCTTCCCCATTGCAAAGGTTGGGTGGCTGATAGCACACATGGCCTGCTGAGCTTCCTGGTGTGTCCACCTCCACCTCCACCACTGCAAGTGGCTTTGTTCTGAGGTAGGAACAAGGTGCCCACACTTGATTACATTGCTGACTATCTCATTCTGACCTCAGAGTGAGTGATGGTGTCAGCAGCAGATATGCCGGCTGGTTCAACATGTTATTGTATAACATTTGTCTGAAGAATCATAGCTTGTGTGGATCTTCTTCAAAATATATGAAGCTACAGTACAGACATTGCAAAGTAACTAACAATATTTCTCTGTATCAGGGATAAAGACTATGTGGCCCTCCAGATTCTATTGGACTATGGCTTCTATAATTATACTGGTTAGGGTTGATGTGGGTTGGAAGTCTAACAACATCTGGGGAGCTATATTTTCCCTAGCACCTTTACCATATATAAAGGAAAAGATGGTTCTGTTTCCACTAGTACAACAATGATCAGACATTGAACTATCTTCCTTTTAAATTGACAAACATTATCAAATACTTCCTGGGGTTCCACCTTGGTGACACATGGCAGAGGGTACTTTTTAATGCAATATATCATTAGGAAGTGGTGACTTTGAGATGTATCCTGTGGAATGGTTGCTTCTCTGTACATGATGGACATGCTGTTTGGGAGTTGGCCTCAAGTTCTGCTTAAGACATAACAGAATGGTACACCCTCTATTGTTTATCCTGCTCAACACAACAGGGAAATTCTTATAAAGAGTATTATTATTTTAGTACAGGGTGAATAACTGCATCGAGGCCAGGGGACAATTTTTTACACACTGATACCCACCCCCATGGGCACATACATCTCAGCATAACAACAATAGCTTATTTGTCCTCCATTTTGCTTTCAAAATAGGGTCTGGAAGAATCATTTCATCACTTCCAATTGCCATTTTTGAAATGGAAAGGAAAGAAGGCATTTGAGGAGGTGGGGGTTCTGAGAAGGCTGGGTAATGGGTTGTAGGTTTTCATGCATTTGGTGGCCTTTGGGTACAATTTGCAGGAGATTTTCATCTCGCACTAACATTTTCTCTGTTAAAATAGGGGGATTTAAGAGTGTATGGAGGAATTGGAGGGAGGTTTCAGGAGCCACAAAAGTAGGTCCCAGGGGCTTCTTGTGGCCTGCAAGCCATACTTTCTCCACCACAGTTTTAGCATCAATTTGACATTCTAGTCATGGGTATTTGTTTCTTTAATTTCATGCAATGTGATGTAAAATGACTACTTTTCAATGAACATTACCTCTGTTCAGATTATGCTTATTCTGGATGGAATGCTATGAATCAGTTTTGGCCTTTTCTTTAGCCAAAAGGTATATGCAGCATATGGAAAATGCAGTCTGATGCTATACATGCCAACAATTCAGGGAATAAGTAAAGCCTTTTGGAGTTGTAACTCAACATGGAATCCTGTATACATAGACACCAGCAGACATAGGTTGCTGTTCTCACGAAGCTCTGTTTCCATTCTTTGTCTGCTGGTGTGCAGTGTTGCTATTCTGCATGGCAGTTGTAAAGTGCTGCTATGGTGTATGTCCAAATGCAGGTATTTACACTATGCTAAGGGGATATTGGATTGGTGCCATTGGATGGTACTAGCTTGTTCAAGAGAAGCCATTCTGATCTGTTGCAGAGCTACATCTATTGGAGAACAAATACCAGTATTACCCAATAGCTAATTGTAGGGCTCTTTGGAGCTGCACAAAGATCCTTCTTGCATTGGCTGAATATGGATAGATTCTGTTGCTGGCATTAAAACAAACAAAGTAAAACATTTCTCCTATACAAAAAATGTGATTGTCCTGTTCTGGTGATAACGGGTGATTTAAGTGAAGGAGATTCTAAGATGCCATACCCATTCTTGTCCGTAGCTGTCTGGCAAGTCATCAAGAGATTGATTTTCCCAGTCAACTCTAATATTCAGGAGTGAATGAGGGAGCCAGCCCTGCTCAGCATAGACAGTAAAATAGGTCAGAAAGGCTCCAATTGTCTGTATAATACCTGTAAAAGAGGACACGAGGCATTATACTCACAAGAAAGAAAGAAAATGCTAAAAACAAATGGCCCAATGCACATGACCTTTTACCAGATAATTTGTAATCATTGAGGACTAGATATATCTCTTTTATATACTGATCCAAATTACCCATTAACAGCTTCTATAAAGTCACAAGTCATACCGATCTGTAAATAGGAGTATACTGCAAGCTCTTGGTTGACCAGCCTGTCCCTTTTCTTGTGCCGTGGCTTCCTTTTCATTATATCACTTTCAGCTTTTTCATAGGCCAGTGCGACAGAAGGAATCTGTAAGAGAAGCAAATTTATTGAACTCTCCAGTGATGTGACACCAGACTCTCAGGTTGCATCGACACTGCAAAACGAATGCAATTTGAACCACTTTAACCTCCATGTCTCCATGCTATGGAATTCTCGAATTTGTAGTTTTGTTAGATATTTAGTCTTCTCTGTCAGAGAGTTTGGGTGCCATAACAAACTACAGATCCCAGATTCCAGAGGATGGAGCCGTGACAGTTAAAGCAAACTGCATTTGTTCTGTAGTGTGGCAGCAACCTCAGCTACCTGTAGGCTGTCTTATTTTGTTTGTCTGTTGTGCTCAGGGGTACAAAAATGAATTAATGCTGTCAAAATAATCTAGCAAGAATAATCTCACAATTAATTTAATTAGATGAAGTGCCTTTGTTAAGAAAAAACTAGTGCTCTGAACACACCTATTCTCATCTGATTTTGGAAATTAAACAGGGTTAGGCCTGGTTAGTAGAGGGCCAGCATGGCTTAGTGGTTTGAGTGTTGGACTACAATGCTAGAGATCAGGGTTCAATTCCCTGCTCCTCCATGAAACCCCCTGGGTGACTTTGAGAAAGTCATACATCTCAACCTCAGGGGAAGGCAATGGTAAAGTTCTTCTGAACAAAGCTTGTCAAGAAAAACCCGTGATAGGGTCTCTGTAAGTCAGAAATGACTTGAAGGCATACAACAACAACAATAACAATGACAACAACACCTGGTTAGTACTTGGATGGTGCCATGGTTAGATGCTGGTGCTGCAGCCACAATTATGTGTTCAATCCCAGGGCTCCAAGGTTGACTCAGCCTTCCATCCTTCTCAGGTCAGTAAAATGAGTACCCAATCCGTTGGGGGCAATTGGCTTATAGATTGTAAACTGCTAAGAGAGTGTTGAGTTCACTATTAAGCAGTATAAAACTGTAAATGCTATTGCTATCTGCTGAAACTCTGCAGCCATTCAGCATTAACAATACTGGACTATATGGGCCAATGATCTGATTATAATGTGGCTTCCTATATTTCTTTGTTCCTAACTCTGTAAGTTTTCAAGTACATTTCTCTTTATTTCTCAAAGGTTGTAAGCATTCATTCATTAGCAAATGAGGAGGAAAGAAGATGATAAATTGCTTATTGATCTTCATCATACAAAATGTACATTAAAGCACCATTGCAAACTTCCAGAAATTAGGACTCACAATGTCTGTGCCCAGGTCAATAAAAAGGATGGTGATGGTGCCAATAGGCAGTGGGATGCTGGCAATAATGTAGATCAGGAAAGGACAGAGTTCAGCAATGTTTTTGGTCAAGGTGTAGGCAATGGTTTTCTTCAGGTTGTCAAAGATCAAGCGACCTATAGGTAAGAAATGGAATATGGAAAGAATAAGTTTGTCAAATTCCAAATTCTGCTAAAGAAAAAGAAAAGTATGTGTATATTAATGACTGATTAATATAAAAGGTGGAAATTTTGTAGGAGCCTTTTTGTGTACTATTGCAATTTTTGGTCAGGATAAAGTGTTAGAGAACACTGCAACAGAAACCATGAGTAGCATTGCCACTTTTCTCTTAGTATAAATTGCAGTCAATGAGCAAAGTAGCATACTATATTATCATGTTTAAATATTAGTATTTGTAAAGTAGGTACTTTGGCACTGGACACCTTGGGGCATCATTTTTTAAAAGATACTTTCTGCTTCTTGTTTGTTTGGGGGTGGCAGGGACAACAGACAAGTTATCAAAAATGGTATGAAAAGTGATATAATCCATAACAGCTGCCCCATTCTTTGACTACTGCTCAGATCCTACAATCATTGTACTCATGCTGTGGCAATCCCAAAAACACTGGCTTAAAAAGAGGGCTTCTTATAGAAAATTGTGTGCCTGAATGTCATCCATGTACATGTGCAATGATGACTATGAATGTTCACAGCCCCTGTTTACATCTGTATAGGGAATCTTCTTGAGATATGAAAAATTTCCTTGTGGGTCACTGGATTTTGTGAACCCACTGGAACAAATATGACATTGCCCCCAATTCCAAACATGTGCATCAGGATGGGCGGGCAACTTCAGTGGGCCCAGAGGCCAGTTATTTTGACCATGGCAGCCCTTTTTGGACTGTGCGGCTTGCCAAAAATGCCCCCTTAGAAAACAACAACAACAATAAACCCAGATGTTGCAAAAAGTACTACTTAAAAGTAGTGATTATTTAATGTTAAATAGTACAGGGGTCTCCTACATGCTATTTAAAAGGATAATCCCTGCTGCTGGAGGTTTCCAGGAGTGACAGTTCCCCTTTTATGTTTGCCAAAATGAGTGTCTGGAGCAACTGGGGGTTACATGTATAGTCTTGGGATCTTTCCATGCAGCCTCAGAGTTGTATTTTGGGCCACCCTCATGCGTAGGTTGCTCGTCTTACCTTCCTCCACTCCTGTAACAATAGAAGCAAAATTGTCATCTAGCAAGACCATATCAGCTGCATTCTTCGCTGCATCAGAGCCAGCAATGCCCATGGCAATTCCTATGTCAGCTTTTTTCAAAGCGGGGGAGTCGTTGACACCGTCACCAGTCACAGCCACTACTGCTTCCTGGAATACATAAGAGTCAAGGGATGTTACTAAAACTGGGTCCAGAGTTCTCTCCTTGTTTCAGTCCTGCTTTTTGAGCTCACATGACCTTATTCAGAATAATAGTATCATTTTTTTCAAAGCATCAATAGAAGGTGCTGGATGGACAGCATGAAAGGCATAACCATTCCTTCAGCTCAGCTATAACTTTAGCTCATTGCATAAGCAACCCTGACCTTTTCCTTTAAATATCTCCTATTCCTGCCTGAAGGGACCTTTGTTACTTTCAGAGATGAAACCAGATATCAATTCTTGGTCTACTTTTTGTAAGTGGAAAATAACACCATTTCACATTGTAATTTGTTATGTGAATATTTGTATAGGGCAAAACCACATTTGTCTGTATGGCCTCGGGGACAGCCAATATATGCCAATAAATGAGACCCATTTGCATTGTGCCATGCTAAACAGTTTACAGTATCAGGAATTTTAGATAACCAAGAAGTGGCTAATTCAGGGTTTGCAGCATTGAAGGATCTCCTTTCTTTAAATGCTTTAATGTGTGTCTGAAATTATTACAGTGACATTTATCTATTGCAAGGATGGATGAGGTTTATGTAAGAAGCTAAAGTTGCTAATTTGCCAAATCCATGTCTGTTCACTGAGATTCATGTAACCATGTCCTTATTAGGAAAGGTCAGAGGACCTAAGCGAAAGGGAATTTAGCAAACTGTGAGCTAAATTCAGCAGAGGGAAAACCCACAAAACCTGATTAAGGCAAATGCTGGGTATCTTGTTCTTGAGGATTTAGTACATTGAGTCCGGTTATAATTAATACTCTACCATACAGCTTATAGGCTCTGGTTACTAAATATAGGCTGTATGGAGCACCTTCCCCTCCCTTTGTGTTCTTCCCTTGGAGAACTACATAAATATTACTTTGCATCTGAGCCAGTGTGGCATAGTGGTTTGAGTGTAGGACTACAACTGTGGACACCCGGGTTCAATTCCCAGCTCAGTGTGAAACCCACTGGGTGCCCTTGGGCAAGTCACATGCTCTCAGCCTCAGGGGAAAACAGCAGCAAACCTCCTCTGAACCAATCCTGCCAAGAAAACTCCATGATAGATTTCCCTTAGGGTTGTCATAAGTCAGAAATAACTTGAAGGCACTCGACAACAACACATCTGGGTGCTACAGTGGCAGACTGGAGAGAAGCATTTAAAAAAGAAGACAGCACTATGGACAGTTTTTTTTTTTTTTTAGTTTCTGTATAGGAGTTGAACTGAAGAGCTCATAAAGTCCTTTTTTGAAAACAGAGGTGGCTAAACCTGTTCTTTCCTCATCAGTGTCTGTTATGTGGTTCTCATTATCATTGCCATAGATATTTTCCATGAAGCTCACAAGAGTGCAGCTTATTGGTACTGAAAGCACACTTTTCCCCCTTCATCCATCACTCACCTGTCTCTGGCAGCCCTCTACGATGATCAGTTTTTGCTGGGGTGAAGTGCGAGCAAAGACAATTTCTGAATGGTTGATCAAGATGTCATCCAGCTGTTCTGAGGTCATGTCTTTGAGCTCCATTCCATTAACTACAGCAGCTCTGGCATCTCTGCAAAAGCCAAATGTGACCACAGTCAATGTCTATGTAAATTTGCAATGTGAAAATCAGATGCAAGTGAAGTTATATATTTTATGTCGGTTGAAAACCAGATGGAAGTAAATCTATACATTTTTTTTATAGACTGAAAACCAGATGCACCTACATATTTCATAGAATGGGGTGTATTAGTGAATATGTTTGTTCACACAAATTATGTCTGCATGAAAAATGTTGAAGTGCAAAGCACAAGAAGGTAACATCACTACTAGTAAATTAAGATAGGTGTAGGAACATTCTAGTAGAACAGATTTTGCTAAGTAACAGAATCCAAACTGCATCCAAATAAGAATAACACCTTAAGGAGGATAGATTGATTTTCTTGTATTTATATACAATCCTTACCGTTTGTTCACCTGCTCAACTGGAATATTGAGGCGCTTTGCAATGTCTTCCACTGTTTCACTGGTGGCTGAAATGATTCCTACACTCTTGGCTATAGCTTTGGCTGTGATGGGATGATCTCCAGTGACCATGATCACCTACAGAAAAGACAAATATTCATGATGAATAATGAGATGGAGCCAACTTAAGGCTACAGCTTGTAGTATCTATCTTGACTATTTAAGAGACTAGTGAACTATTTAAATTTGCAGAACCTGTCATTAGAAACAAACTGGCCTTATTGGTACCCAGTAAGCCTTCTGAATGAAATAAAGTGACTGGTTTGTAAAGAGAGGATTTTTAATGGATTAAAAAGAAAGATTTTGCAACTGTACATTTACATTCATTAGACCCGTCATTTCTTTACCACCACCCCCTTTTTTAAAAAAAGTCCCTGGAATTGCCACCAAATAGTCTTTAATGTTTACAAATTTAGTTCCAAATTATGCATTGTTACAGTAACTATCATCATCAGATAAGAGAGTTCTGAGAAAAATGTGTGTAATTACTAATCCCCATATGCAAGTGGTGGAAAAGGCACTGACCCATTTTAAACCCAGTTCTTCAAAGCTGCTTTTTGGAAACCGTACCTTGATCCCAGCACTCCGGCACTTGATGACGGCATCTGGTACAGTGGATCGTGGTGGATCAATCATTGACATGAGCCCCACAAAGCAAAGATTGGAAGTAGGGAAATTCATGGTGTCAGTGTTAAAAGTGTAAGTGCTTGGAAATTCTTCCTCTGGCAGATACAGATGACAGAAGCCTAGAATTGAAACAAGAAGATAACCAAAAAGCTGAAGTTAAAGAAGAAAGAATATAAGTCACACTTTAAGTAGGAAATATGTTGTTGTTGTTGTTGTTCTGTGTGTTTAAGTCATTTTGGACTTAGGGAGACCTTAAAGTGACCCTATTATGGGGTTTTCTTGGCAAATTTCTTCAG